GATTTCACTTCTGTAAGGCAAAATTAAGCTATCCTGTCTGACAACTTCTCCCATGCCTAGAGGAGGGTCCAAGTATATTAGCAAAAAGATTCTCAATAGCTTCCAAACACTGTTACATGAAAGAGACTAGCTAGGAAGAATTCAGTTCTAACTGGTCCTTTAACCAGCGATTAGCCCTCCCCCCAAAAGAAAAACTGTAGCACAGGACCAGTGTTGTTATTTATAGGTTATTTGTATGTTTGTTTAATTTCCAAACTGATACAAACAGTTGTATTTGTGTTGTCAAATACAACACAAAATGAACGAAAAGTGACATTAAGACCCAAAGATGCATAAAATACAAGCCCATTGTCTTTATTGTTATTAGATTTAACAGGCAGGCATAAGACTACTCTGCCAAATTGTAAGAATTTTCTCTCGATTTCTGTATTAATTCCATCTGGACCAGTGACCATTCCTGGAGCAGCATTAACCTTGGCTTAAGTTCTGAGTAGCACTGCTTTTACTCAAGTGGAGTTTCAAACCCTCATGTTGCAAAAGTCCACTCTTACGTAGAAAGAAAAATCAGAAAATATGACTGAAAACATTTCCCACAAAATAGAGGTTTCTAATGTGGTTTGAAGCATCACATTAAACACTAAACTGGTGGTGGTATTGTGCACCCTGGGTCAATTAGGTCTCAGAACAACCTATAGGACTGAGTAGAACTGCCCCAAAAGTTTTCCAAGGTTGTAATCTTTACAGAATGGAGTCCTGGGTTGGTGCTGTAGAATAAACACTGGACCAAAAGGTCGGTTTCAACCACAAGGTTGGTAGTTCAACTCCACCAGCCACTCCTCGGAAACCCTATAGAGACACTTAATAACAACAAATCTTTTACAGAAGGAGACTGCCACACTTTCCTCTTGAAGAATGGCTAGGGTTCAAACTGACCTTCTAGCTAGCTTCTGAGCACTGAACCATGGCACGAAAAGTGTACATGGTTAATAAAACAATAGAAGGACTTGCAATTTTATGCTGTCTATAAGGGGCTCCTTATAACCTCATATGCATGCGAAAAAAGCTCATATGCATACAAAAGCTGACAGTGAATAAAGAAGACCGTAGAAAAATTGATGCTTTTGAGTTATGGTGTTGGAGGAGAATATTGAAAGTGCCTTGGGCTGCCAAACAAACCAATATATCCGTTTTGGAAGAAGTGCAGCCAGAGTGCTCCTTGGAGGCCAAGATGGCCAATCTTTGTCTCTCTTACTTCGGACATATTATCAGGAGGGACCAGTCGCTAGAGAAGGATATCATGTTTGGTAAGGTGAAGGGTCAGAGAAAAAGAGGAAGACCCCCAACCAGATGGACTGGCTAAGTGGCAGTATCGATGGACTGAAGTGTGGCAACAGTAGTAAGGTTGGCTCAGGATCAGGCAGTGTTTTGTTCTGCAGTGCAATAAGGCCTCTGTGAGTTGGTACCGACTTGATGGCACCTAACATCCTGGTGTGGCACTGTGGGTTAATGCACCAGACTGCAAAGCCGTTTGAACTGCAAGGTCGGCGTTTCAAGCTCACCAGCTGCTCCTTGGAAACTCTATACAGGGTCGTTATGGGTCGGAATCGACTTGACGGCACTTAACAACAACAAACGAAAATAAGGAGCACCAGAAACAAAACAAAACCTATGGCAGTCAAGTTGATGCCCAATCATAGTGACACTACTCTAGATGTCTGTGAAATCAGCAAATGAAAAGAATCAGGCATTGAAATCTCTTTCTCCTTTTAAGGCACTAGCAAACCCTGGAATTCTGCAGAACACTCACAAACATACTGCACATTCTACATGTAAGGTATTTATATTAAATAAAGTTCTATCTGATCACTCTGGTCCTGACTAAGGAACCATGGGAGTTTTCAGGCCAGATCCTAGATAATTATAAGTCTTTACCTGGCAGGCCTCAGGGGGGAAATGCCTCCCTGCACAATCTCTGAAATCAGTTTCAGTCAAGAGGGTGCTTGGGCCTCCGTCCCCTCCCCAAGCCCCGAGGTCATGCTTTTACTTATATACATTTATAGCCTAATGGGATTTGGTGTTTGGTGGTCTGATTATGGGTGGTTTTCTGCAAAGACATTGTTCAGGTATCTGCAGGAACCCCAGACTGAGAGGAGAAAGAAAGCGGGTTTGCAAAAGCATTGGAAGAAATAAACGGGTGAAATCTTCCCATATTTGGCAGAAAATAAAATTTAAAAATGCAAGAAGTTACCCAAACCCCAAAGAGGACAAACGCAAAGCAATCTACAAATCAGGATGCCTCCATGAGGCTTAGAATTCTGGTATTTTATATTCGCCCCCAAAACATCCTCACTGACACAAGCGGATGAATCTATACTGCTTGAATTTGGTTCAGTCCCATTCCTGTATTCTGGGGCCGAAGTAGGAGGAACCTCACTGGACTACACAAGGCCACTCCCAGCCACGCCCCTGGAGGCAGGTCCAGATGGGCCAGCTCCTTTATCAGTTGGCGCCCAAGCGTGTGTTGGTCAATCCATCCGTGGTCTCCACGTGAGCTCTAGGTAGGTGAGCACCGGCTGGACAGCGCTGAGCACTGAGCTGGTGAGTCTGGCTGGGGTTTTAGGGCATGGCCGGCCCTAAGCATGGTTGCGGGTTGCATGGGATCCCTCAGGAATTAGATTTGGACCTCACAAAGTGCCGTCTCGCGGCCTTTACCGGGTGGGGGGCCCCAGCAGGGACCCCTTTAGGGTGGGTGGGCTGAGATGGCAGTGGCAGGCTACTGAGGAGCATGGGGGGCGTTCGCCAGCCTCAGAGATCCAATTTTATACCCGATTTTCAGTTTTTCCAGTCCCCAAGTCATCTGGCGGGGGGGGGGGGGCGGTCCTTTCATGGGGATCAAGGTTTTGGGGCGGAACCCGTCTGTATGGAGGGCCGATGGTCGGAGGCCCGAAAAAGTCCACCCCTGGAGGATGTGGTCGCAGGCTTGGGTCAGCCAGGGGGAAACGGTGTAGCTGTGAGGCCATCTGGGGTGGTGGTGTTCTTAGCCCTGGACGGCACCATTTCAAGATGGCCACAGGCGATGGTGGATTTAGCTCAGTGGGTGCTTCTGAGGAACAAGCAGTAACCTAACTGGATGCAAACCCTGCTGTGAGTTGCTTCAGGCAGGTGCAGCATGCCCCATGGCAAATTCCAAGAAGGGATGAGGCAGGCTTTTTGGAAGAAGGCGGCCTTTTTTTTTTTTTTTTTTTTCCTCTCAAATTATAGCCCAGGGCAAACGCTAAGCCGTTTGTATGGGCTGTGAGGCGAACCTAGAACTCAGACCTGGAGTTCAGACTCAAATCTAGTTTTGCTTTCAGTTTTTGCTGAAAGTTAGGCAAAGGTTGCATTGGGAGCAGTCTGTCGGTCTACAGAAGCCCAGGTTGCGCAGTGGGTAAGTGTTTGGCTGCTAGGGGCAAACTCCCGATTCAAAATTAATAGTGGGAAAAAGGTGGGGCTGTCTGCTCCTCTAATGATTTCCTCCCTGAAACCTGATATAGGGCGCTGGGAGTCAGAATTGACTTGATAGCCACGGGGTTTTTTAAGTTTGGTGGCACAGTGGTTAAGTTTCAGAAAAGGTCTGCAATGGTGGGAGGCAGTTGTCACCAAAACCGACATGGAAATCACTAAGGGGCAGTCTACGCGATAGGGAGGCAGGTTTTGTTGTCGTCCCCCCTTTTGGTTTATATGGCTTTTATGGGACCCTGGTGGTGCACTGGTTTAGCTCGCAGCTACTAACCCAAAGGTCACTTGTTCAAACCCACCAGACATTCTACAGTGGGAGAAAGATGTGGCTATCGGCTTACAGAAATGCCTCCCACCTTGGCAACCCCGTGGGGTTGCTATGAGTTGGAATCCACTCGACCTTAGTGGACATTGAGTGGGTGCCGATGTGGGATGAATAGGTGTGGACAGTCTAGAACACCTTTCCCCTCCACACACCTTTACACCCCTCCCCTCCCC